GCGGTCCGAAGGCGAGGGCTCCGCCGACGCCTCCAGCGCGGGCGGAAGGGCGCTGCCGCGGCCGGGGGCGCCGCCAGCAGCACCTCGGCTGCGCCAAGTGTGAGTCAGTCTCGGGGCAGAGCGGCGGCGGCGGCGGCGGCGGCGGCGGCGGCGGGGGAGGAGGGCTCGGTCCGCCGGGAGGAAGCCCCCCGCCCGGGCCCTGCTCACCTCCAGCAGCGGGTGGGCTCGGACGAGGTCCGCGGCGGACTGCGGCAGCTGCACTCGCCGCCCCTCCACCAGCAGCGGCATCGCGGAGACGGCGGCCGCGGCGGTCCCGGGGAGGCGTGGGCCGCCCCCGCCGCGGGCAGCCTGCCCCCGCCGCCGCCGCCGCCCTCACCCCCACCCCCGCCCCCGCCTCTGGGTGCCCCCGCGGGCGCCGCTGGGAAGTGGAGTCCGAGGAGACCGCACTGACCCAGGAGGGTGAGGGAATCCAGGGCGGGGCCGCAATGCCCCTTGGGAAGCGTAATCTAATAGCCAGGAAACGGGGTGAGGCCAGCCTCTTCCGCAAAGGTCGCTGGGAAATGTAGTCCTGAAAGCGTGGGGGCGAAGGGAGGGGAGCTGCGCCCAACTTGAGAGAGAGCCTTGGCTCTCAGAGCCTAGCTCAGTTCGCAGATCTGGTAACCTGGCCTGAGTGCGGGGTCTGGGGGCTCTCGGCTTCCGTTCACAATAAGGTCCCTACCACCATCTAATCGTGCGTGATCTTGAGCAAGTCCCAGATGGTATTCAGTGAATAATAAACGCAACATGTCTTAATCTGGGAAAATAGAGCCTAAAATTTGCTAGCCCCACATTTAGAAATCATCAGTTAACTATTGGCATCCAGTAGGCACCATACCATGCAGTCCTACTGAGGATAGGTACCCTGGTGCAAGGCTGGGGTTCTCTATTCTAAAACTTGCAAATACTCAAATAGATCCAATTCCACAATACATCAACAAAAAGTAATTTTTTAAAAAGATGGTGAGATGAGGAGAGTCATCCCATGATGAGCAAAAACTACGAAAATGTAATCATTTTATATTCCACCTCCTCTTAGTTTTTCTAAACTCCCAAGGGCTAAGAAACACCATAATCAGTGTTGGGTTAGGGCTCTATTAAGTTGATACCAAGGAAGTAACATGGGTAAAATGGAAGTCATCTTTGTCTTGAAAAGATTTTTTCATGGAAGAGCTTCCTTCTTTAGTCTTTCTCACAAGGTAGCCAAACAGCCATTGACAGATTTTACATGCATTTTCACTGAATCCTCACAGCCCTAGAATAGGTATTAGTTTTCAATAGTTCAATAAAATTAGAGTTTTGAAGAGCGTGTCACACACTTGGTTAGAAAGAGAAGATACTAACCAAGCAGACAAAGGGATGGACTCTGGTTCTCCTACATCAATTGAAAGTGTTTTGCATTCACGGGTAGGGCTGCGGTTAAGCATAGACCTATTGAGGTCGGGGGTATGATCCCTAGGAGGAATCATATGGGAGGCAATACTTTTCATAATTTGTTTCTCCCTCTCCCTTTATGATATACACTGAGTGGCCAGATTATTATGATCTCTGAATACATAATAATTTGGCCACTCAGTGTGTGTGTTTGAGGCCCCGTGCATGAATTTGTGCATGGGTGGGGTCCGGCTAGCCTGGCCAGGGGGAGGGGACATGGGCGGTTGGCCAGCCTGCCTACTGGTAGAGGGCACAATTTGCATATTAGCCTTTTATTATATAGGATATATACTGAGTGGCCAGATTATGCATTCAGAGATCATAATAATCTGGCCACTCAGTATGTATGTATGTACACACACTAGAGGCCTGGCCTGATGCATGACATTTGTGCAAGAATAGGCCTCTGCAGCCCCACCCCACACCCACTGGTCATTCAGGAAGGTCATTCCCAAAGGTCATTCCACTATCAGGTCTATTTAGCATATTAGCTCTTTATTATATAGGATATACACTGAGTGGCCAGATTATTATGACCATTTGACGTTTGTAAGCAAATTAGCTGTACACTGCATCGTATGGGATATGGAAGCCAAAGGCCTGTTTGAACACCTTTGCTGTCTGCAGTTACCATTATAAAACGTCTCCAATTCGCACAGGAACACAAGGATTGGACAGTCGACCATTGGGAAAAAGTCATGTGGTCCAATGAATCACGCTTCCAGTTGCATCATGCAGATGGCAGAGTGAGAATTTCACGGAAACAGCATGAAAGCATGCACTCCACATGTATGAGTACAACCCTTCAAGCTGGTAGGGACAGTGTTATGGTTTGGGGCATGTTTTCCTGGCATGATTTGTGCTCTTTAATTCGTGTGGAACGTCTGAATAGCACAGTATCGTTGCTGATCAAGTTCATCCTATCATGTTGATGGTGTATCCCAATGGAGAAGGCTTCTTCCAATAAGACGTGCCATGCCACAGTGCTCATATTGTGCAGGAGTGGTTTCAAGAGACGAGGTAGATTTTACCTTGCTTAGGTGGCCCCCACAATCACCAGATCTCAATCCAAGTGAGCATTTGTGGGACAAAGTTAAAAGAGCCACCAGGCGAATTGTTCCACAACCATCAATTCTCACAGAACTGGACAGTGCTATCCATCAGGCACGGTGTCAGATTCCTCGCATCACCTTTCAACCTCTCGTGGAGTCAATGCCAAGAAGAATCGCTTCAATATTGAATGCAAAAGGTGGCCCAACGAAGTACTGATGGGGTGGTCATAATAATCTGGCCACTTAGTGTGCACGCGCACGCGCGCGCACACACACACACACCTGCTTTTCAGTAAGAGGAACAAAAAATCCCTTGTTCTCATCATACACTTTCCAAAGAGATTTTACAATTATTTTTTCACCAGATATATTCCTTCAAGGCATGTAAATTTTTGAAGAAGTGTTTGTCTTCCTTGGACCAGTTCAAGCCGCAGTCATTCTTGGCTGGCTGTGATCAGGGGGAGTCAGCGACACTTCAGATGCATCTGGAAGTGCATCGCATCACCAACATGCACTTTATGTTTGAGCACTCCCAATCACACAGGCAATATTTTTGCCTTTTTAATCAAGTCTCATATGCAGTTTTAAGTTGCAAAACAATGTTTAAATACAGATCAGTAAGAAAAAAATTAAAAGAACATTTGTGTAGGTAGCATCTTTCTTGAGGTACCTCCCTTTAAGAACAAGAGTTCCAGATTAACCATGTCATTGTTTTATTGTCACAATAGGTTTTTTCTCAAGCTCCTTTGAAATTAAACACTTACTTATAAATATACCCCTCTACAGTAAAGCTACTTCCCAACCAGAGACTCCATTTACATTATTTCTATGGACACATTTCATTTTCTCCTTTTGTCCAGTATACAAAAATCCCACCTTTTTGTCAGCAGTTAAAAAAAGAAAACCTAAAGGTTCTCAAATGAAATTCCACCAAGTCACTAAAAGAAAGTCACCAATATCCAAAACTTTTTAAAGCAATAAAATTTTTTCTGTTCCAAAGCATATTTACAGACTGCAATTCAAACTTTACATCGCCATCAATATAATTATACAAGAGCATATTATGCTCTAGGAGAAAGTATTTCATTACAAAATATTTGCGATCAAGAAAATATTACTTGCCTTTAAATAAAAAATAGGAAAAGTGGCAGAAAAATAAATAAGTTTAAAGATGTACATTTTCACAAGTAACAAAAAAGTACACATATAAAGAATGAAGCTAAATATGCATGAGCTTCCAAATCAATCTAGCAGTGCCCACACAAATTTGCTATATGCAAGGCTCTTTAGACTCCTCTTGTTTAGTTAAAAAACAAACAAACAAAAAAACTCCCAGAAAACTAGACAGAGGAGGTTTAGAGTTTCACTGATCTGAATCCATGATACAAATAGCCAGTTGGACAAAGAATATATGTAACCTTGGCCAACTGTTGCTAGCAAAATCGCCCCATAAATAACCTAAAATGTAACCCACCCTCTCCAAGAAATTTTCAAAATAAGAACTGGTCTACTCATACTGGTAAAAATATAAAAATCCATGTTAAAATTCCACTATAAATGGGTCATTCCAGTTCAAACACCACACTTGGGAGCTTTGGGGTAAACTGCTCTTTGCTTGCTGTTTTATAAAAAGCCCAACCCTCACCTTCAGTCAATGTGAATTACTTTTACATGGAACTCCCATTTTTTTTTTTTTTTAAATCCACTTACACTCACTTGTGGATGATTTGGCTGATTCAGTCTCCCTAAATCCCCTATCTCTTCCCTCCAGGCTTTTATTGATCTCCGAAGCCCCTGGAGATCTCCCGCTCTCAGCATTTGGGACCAGCCCTGGCCATCTCCCCACTGTCTCCTACCTTCTCTGCACCCCACTAAACCCCAACACACAGACAGTTACAGCAGAGGTAAACAATGTACCCAAAATAAACTCTAAAGACTATAGTGTTCTAGAGGATTTTCACTGATCAGAAAAGTCCTATAAGTATGGCTCTCAACGGAACCTATGTTTAAAATGCAATCTGTTAAAACAGGCTGCTGCTGATATTAGAAATTTCACAATATGTTAAAAAGCTGTAACACACAAACGTATACATTAAGTATACACAAACAAGCCAAGCCTTGAACACTTATCATCAACTCCATTATAAAATATTGCACATGATAGTCAATCTTTTCCTTTGTCTATATGGGAGCAAAAAGAAAAAGAAGAGAAGACACATGTCTGTTCACGCACTAGAGTAAGTCTAACTTGAAATATGGTGCCAGAGGCAGGTACTCGACGCTCTAGTTTGATGTGAAACTCAAACAGTACGAGCCCTGGTATTAAAGGGCAGGATGGGGAGGCATGTTCGTCTCAATCGCAAATCCTTGCAGTCAATGGAGACTGGTCTGGCAGGTACAACACTGGTGGGGAGCCCACACTACTCGAAGGACTTCGAAAATGCGTGTCAAAGGAGCTCGGTGTAATCCCAACTTCACCTTTCAAAAAGTCATCATCTTCATCTTCCACCGCCTCCTATCAGGAGAACAGAGATTATCAACAAGATCACAAGTGGTTTGAAAAACTTCCAAGAATTCCTTCCCTCAGGGATGTGCTACTTCTAAAAAGGTAAAGAAAACATAATTCAAAAGCTTCCCCCGGCCCTGGCCAGTCTGGCTCAGTGGATTGAGCATCAGCGTTCTGTTCAATTCGGTCAAGGGCATGCATTTCGGTTGCAGGTTCCTCTCAAGCGTGAGGCCTGGTCAGGGCTCAAATCAATGTGTTTCTTCCACATCGATATTTCTGTTTTCCCCTCTCTTCCACTCTCTAAAATCAATGGAAAAATACCCTCAGGCAAGATTAACAAAGAAAAACTTCCTCTGATGCACACTTCTCAATTGCTCACCACACGCTGTCACTATTTGTTTAAAGTCAGTTATTTTTTTTTATTTTTATTTTTTTAGCTGATTTTAAGGTCAATATGGGCAGGTAACATATGTCATTCTTGCTCACTATTATAACTTTTGTATCTAACACAATGTGAATGAATAAATGGAGGCTTCAAACACAAAATATGAGGAAAAATAATGAGATTCCCAGTGATTCCTTATGAGACAGGCACATACAGTTGACCTTTAATGGGGAAATAAGTCTGCCACACACAAAAAGAACAGTGACATTATTTATTAGTGAATTCTAATTTTCTTCTCTGGCAATAACTGCCTCACTTCCATCTGACATGCCCTGCAAGGTGTGCTGCAGACCTGCATCTTTACCGCTTACTCACAAAGAGCTACAAAATTAATGGTAGCCTCTATATAATTATGGTGTTGCTTATAGTGTCAACATAGTACATTTGCCATTGTTACTTGGTGGTAATGATCAAGTGATAAAGATCTAAATTTACTTATCTAAATTTATTAATTTTTAATTAATCTTCACTCCCCAAAGTCAATGTGTGAAGTGTCTGGTTTAAATTATTCATCAAAAACACAAAAACTCTTTTCATAAGAACATATCCTGAGCTTGGAATTTTGCAAAGGCAGAATGTATAAAATGTCCTATTTAAAAAAAAAAAAAAAAAAAAAGTTTTATTGATTTCAAAGAGAGGAAGGAAGAGGGAGATAGAAACATCAATGATGAGAGAGAATCATCGATTGGCCACCTCCCACATGCATCCCTCCCACCAGGGACTAAGACCGCAACCTGGGCATGTGCTTCTGGTTCATGGGTTGACACCAACCACCGAGCAACACTGGCTGGCCAAAATGTTCTATTTTTAAGTGTAACATTGCTATTTACTACTTGACTATAATTTGTAACCACACAGGAGATTCCCAAAAAGCATGTTGAGTCACAAATTTACCTTGTTAATGGGTTTCTTAAACTCCTGAAGCTCGTCGGCACTTAGGTCTTCCCAAATCTGATAAATCGGATCAATGAATTTCTTTGACCTGTCAACAAAGATCATATTTCACAAATCAAGTTAAATACTGCAGGGAAGGTCAGACATATTAGCTCTTCTTTCACAAGACCTAGTACCCGAAATAAAGTGAAAATTATGGCTCAAATATTAAGTGTCAAAAAATAGTCTATGTAAAAACTGTAACTCATGTGGCCTCTATAAGACTTCATCAATTCATATAGGTGGAACATATTTCTTTCTCAAGTGTAATTGTTTCTCAACTTTGCATAGACTAGCAATGAATTATGTGTCCAAATGGAAAAAAAAACACTACATTATTCTAGAAATTCCTTTTTTATTTTTAAAAATACATTTTATTAATTTTTTTTTATTTTTTTTTTTACTTACAGAGAGGGAGAAGGAAAGAGAGAAACATCGATGAGAGAGAAACATCGATCAGCTGCCTCCTGCAAACCCCCACTGGGGTGTGCCTAGAAGCAAGGTACATGCCCTTACCCGGAATCGAACCTGGGACTTTTTAGTCCGCAAGCCGACACTCTATCCACTGAGCCAAACCGGTTTCGGCTGGAACTTCCTTTTTAAAATTCTTATAGCAATTTACTAAAAGTAAGTCTCGGGAAAAGGCCTGCCTGAACCCTGCCGGTGTGTCTCAGTGATTAGAGCATCACCTTTGCATCAAAGAGTAACAGGTTCAATCCCTGAGCTCGATTGGAAAAGCAACCATCTGATATCTCTCTCTCTCTCTTTTTCTCTCTCCCCCGCCCCCTTCCTCCCTCACCCTCTGCCCCCTGTTCCACTCTCTCTAATAAACAATGGGAAAAAATATCCTCAGATAAGGATAAACAATAAAGCAAAAATTCTGCTTCCTTATACAAATACAAAGTTAAGACTGGCTTATTGACTTTCCAGAATTATCCATCAACATAAATCTCTTGGCTTTTGTTTAGCCTGTGCAACAGTATGTGGTCTCTAGAGGAAGAAACAAGTCACTGGCAGAAAATTATGAGCCATGAAAAGACAGCATCCTCCCTATTGGGACACCTTTAAACCAACAAGTTTAAAGGAAAACAAAAATAAACCAAAAACCTTTAGTCTCAACTTGTGTTCCTAATGGGGCAAAGATCTAAAAACCCTAGTGTGCCTATGACACTCAGCAGTCAGTCTCTAATAGGCATCCTCTGCTTTGCCTGTAAAACATGTGCAAGATGACCATGGCTTTACGAATGGCTAGAAATGGCCAGCCACGTAGGACAAAGAAACTCTACATCCCAACCTTGGGAAAAGCAAATACACAGTGCACTTAAGTTCACGACAGGTTCACTGTGTTAGGAGTACCCACCTCTTAAGCACACAAGGATCGAAGGGGAAGAAGGTGTCAAGTGGGTTTGTGCAGGTTTGCACCGAGTCCCCTCCAGCTGTACTTCTAATAACTGGTAGCATCTGGCGATTGTTCCTCTCAATGATGGTGTAGCAGAAGACTAACTGGTATTTACTATGGAACAAGAAAAATAACAGAGGCATTACCTTGCTGGAATTACTCTGCATGAACATGCTTGTTCGTGAGTGATAAATATACTGACCACACAGTTACTGCCAAACATAACAAGTGCAAGAAAAAAAAAGAACATAAAGCAGAAAGTGATGCTTTTAGGGAAAACTTTCCTACTTTGCAAAATAGCTGTCTTTACTTATTTATTTTTATTGTCTATAAAAGAATTAGGGATTGGTGAAAGGGGATTCAGTATTTACTGAGGAGATAGTATTTGATGATGGGGAAATTTGGTTTTTGAAGAAATGAGGACAGTAGTGAAAGGGAATGACTAAGTTACAACGTCAGAAAATGATAAAGAAGAGAATAGGAGTAAAACATTTAAATATATTGAAGAACTCACGTTAAAAAAAATTCTACCTTCACATGACTTGGCAACTTGAACCATTATCAGATGGCTTCTCTGACATAAGGATTTAAGTTCACATCTGCTACTCTCTATCTCCTACCCTCCTCCTCACAGTATTCATTCAGGTCATCTCAGATTCTCAGGTCACTAGTGTAATTTTAAGTGACATACGTTTATTTCTGTTCTAGTAGCCAAGGATCACATTTGACTACTGGTGGGAGAGTAAATTGGCAAAACCACACTGGAGTACAGTGTGCAATAACTGGTCAAGTTCACAATGTGCATCTCTTACAACCCAGCAGCTACACGTCTGAGTGACGGGAAGCATGTGCCTTTGCCCCAGCATACACATACAACCATGTCGCTAAGCCGCTGTTACTGATACTGAAAAAGGAACTGCTTAATAACAAGGAATCAATTTTTAAAAATCATTAGAACATTACAGAGCAGATGTACGAATTGACAATGCATCTTAAAACCATTAAGTATGCAAAAGCAGGAGCTACAGATGATACATAACTTCCTGGACACAGAACTTCATTTCAAATTCTTCTCTTAGCATCACACCTCACTCTTAACCTCCATTGCTAACTCCAACTCAAACCTAGTGTGTGCTCATCTGACCAGTGTGCTCATCCACGGCAACCCTTACTTCCCACCATGAGCATATTCAGGGGGCAGCTGCGTCATCTGCTTTGCTTCATCTGTCCTCACCCTTCCTGTTTTCCCAGGAACCTTTCACCCACTAAACACTATTCTTTGTTGGTCTCTTTACATCTTTTGATTCTTTACCATTTTTTGAGATCTCAGGAGAAAGTAAACCTCAAACTAGATATCCAGCAAAGGAAAATAAGATTGCTGAATGAGAGCAGTAAGTTGTCTAAAAGGACTGAGGGATGATTTTTTTCTTATAATAGCACAGATTCTTATCTGTTCAATATTTTAAGCTATGATCCTGTCCTCATATGCTGATTAAATGCCCAAGATCTCCAATTCAGTGTCTATATAAAGCAGAATAGTTCAGTAAATGCTTACAAAGGAGCCAGACTGCCTGCATTCAAATCTCAGCTCTTCCCCAGTCTAGCTCTGACTTCACAGAAGTAATTTAATCTCTCTGTGCCTCCCTCTTCCTATTTATAAATAGATTAATATTATGTTCATAAGATTTTGTGAATTTTCAGTAAGTTCTATGTAAAGCACATAAAACTGTACCAGGCATACAGTAAAATTATGCATTAGCTATAGCTACAAGGCCTGAGATAATTCAGTCCCTCACTAAACCAGTCCCCTATTGGAGATTTATCTCATGCCCAGTCTATTTTTATTACTATTATAGGAGTCACTCTAATAAACATCGTTGGTTTCTACCTCTCAGGTTACTAGTTGCCTTATGTATTTCAAAGTGTCTAGGCTTCTGCTCAATTATACTCTCTGCATAAAGATTAGTAGCAATTTCCAATACCACCAAAATATAAAACAACTGGTGCACAACAGTGTTTCCTGCAAATATTGGGTTACTGGTTTTTAAATGTTTGTATTTTATTTAACTAATCTTATTGAATTGTTTCACAGAAATTTAATGGAATTTTACAACAACGATCCTTAATAATAAAAGGGTAATATGCTAATTAGGCCAGATGTCCTTCTGGACAAAGCCGAGGCCAGAGTGAAGCCGCCGGGGTACAGGTGTCTGCCAGCAGCTGGAGGTGGGAAGCTGGTGTCGGCAGCCGGGGGAAGGAAAGCCTACTTTTGCACGAATTTTCGTGCATCAGGCCTCTAGTACTGATATAAATTTACTTGTAAATATCTTCCACCAATAAAGTACAAATACCTTACCTTGTAATTGCAGCAAAAAAGTTAACTACCGAGGGCAGACAAATCTTCAGAGGATTTAGTTGACTCATCACTATACGTTCAAAATTTAGACTTTGAAGGTACCTCAAACCTTTGATTAAAAACAAAAGATTTTTAAAAAGATACAAAAATAAGTCTTAAAACAGCACAGATTTTTTTTCACGGATTAAAAAAAGGACTTAAACGTTATTTGTGAAACTGCTTTAAATAAAGGTCCATGTAGCCTGGCCAGCATGGCTCAGTGGTTGAGCATTGACTTATGAATGGGCATAAGCTTAGGTTGTGGCTTTGATCCCCATCATTGATGTCTCTCTCTCTCCCCCGCTCCCTTTGTGAAATCAATAAAATATATTTTAAAATAAATAAACTAAAACAAATAAAGGTTCATGTAGATAGTCATATAAAGTGGAGCCCAGAAGAATGTCATTAGGCTTAAGCACTAAGCCAATTTTGACTAAGACAATTTTTCTAAAGAAAACTGTTTCTTCTTTTTTTCTAATCCTCACCCTAGGATATTTTTTTCCATTGATTTCTAGAAATAATAGAAGGAAGAGAGGGGGGAGGAAAGAAATATCAATGTGAGACACATCTATTAGTTGCTAATTGCCTCCTGTATGTGCCTCTACCAGGCTGGGGTTACCTGCAACCAAGGTACGTGCCTTTGACTGGGAATCGATCCCAACCCTTTGGGCTACAGGCTGACACTAACCACCAAGCTACTGGCCAGGGCTGTTTATTTTTTAAAGATCCAGGACTTCAAAGTAAGCAAACATTCCTAGTGGACTATCAGCTTGTACGACAATTTGAAATTCACAGATATGTAAGCATAGCATATGCTGAGATTAAAGGCCATATGATTTTATTTCAGCTAACAACCATGAAATCATTAAAAAAGTTCTGGCAACACGATTGAGTCTCCAATCCCTGTAGAGTGTGGAAATTTCTCCTTCTTGAATTCCATATACTGTGTGTGTGTGTGTGTGTATATAGTCAATCTGACAAGCAATCAAAAAAAAAAAAAAAAACAAGCCCATAAGACCTGCATGTCTTAAATAACTAGTAAAATTGACCATATTTTTGAATGTGCATTAGTTGTTTGTATTCCACATTAAACACACACACACACACACACACACACACACACACACACACACAAGAGAACTATGGATTTAGAATGGAAAATGAGATTTCACTGTCCTGGAAATAATAAATATACTTATTTCCTATATCAGTAAAAGGAAGATACCATACCTATTTTAAGAGGTAAGCAGACCAACTTGTGCTTAAGTACTTTTGTTAGAAAATTCTTTGATGTATATATTGATAAAAATTACTAAAAATGAGATGTCAGGTTCACCCCAATACACCAAGGTTAAGGGTGTGATCCCTGGGCAGGGCACATACAAGAATCAATCAATGAATGCATAGATAAGTAGAACAACAGATCGATGTTTCTCTCTCAAATCAATCAAAAACTTTTAAAATGGGATGTTATGGCTTAGAAGAAATACTCTTTTTACCAAGAACCTTACTACCTATTCACACAAAAATGTAGAGATTTTACTTATCTTGTGATAAAGCCTTGTCCTATCACTAGTTCATACAATTAATTTTTAAACCCCACATCTTTTCAGAAGTATACAGATGTAAATAAAAATATGTAATGCACACAAGTTTCCGTTTAGAGCTGTGCTTCTCAACTCAAGGCAATTGTGCCTCTAGCTGACATCTGGCAGTGTCTGGAGACAGTTTTACTTGCCACAACAAGAGGATAGGATGGGGAGGGGTGCTAGTGCCATCTAGTGAGTAGAAGGTGAGGAGGCAGCTGCTAACCGTTCTACAATGCAAAGGCAGCCTCCACAACATAAAATTATCCAGCCCAAAGGTAAGTGCACAGCTTAAGAAACTCAAGTTTAGAGGAAACAGCCTATTAAACCATTTGAATTATTCATGACAGTAAAACAAAACATTTAAATTTGTTTTGTTTAGCTGATATGGCTACCAGAATGGTCTTCAACTAAAATTTAAAATAACCCAAAAAACAAGCTTCTTCTGGTAGATTTAAATAATAAACCCTTAGACATTAGCAAAATTGGAAACCAGTCATTTACTTAAGTTTTTAGATAAAGGTGCATAATCATTATGACCACATAATGATTACAGCCATCCTCACCTGGTTTCAATTTCCAATCCTGCCAATGAACTACTCCCCTGTGCTTTGGTGTCTCCTGTGCAGTGGGAATGACTGCCCTTCACTGGCCGTCACAGGGACAAGGAGGTGCATAGGAAGCTGGGCATGGTGCTGGCCCAGTGCAGTGCTTGGCCTCACCCCTGAAGAAGGGCATCTTCACATCTCACATGACTCTAGATGCCACCCTCTAAAGCAGAGGTTCTCAACCTCAAACCCATCAGCTATTCAGAGGACGCTTAAGGAGGTGTTAGGGGCTTAGATGCTGCTTGAAATAATTTATAAAAGTTTGTGTGCATGTGCAGTTTTCTGACTCCAGAGTTTTCAACAAATTTTTTAAAAAGTAACAAATCTGCATTCTAAAGGGTGACTAGTACACAGGAAAATCCAGTTCACATCCATCAATCCCACATCACTGACCTTCCTTCAGGTTTCCACTTAAAAGCTGCTTGTGTCTGAAAACGAAAGTGTAGAACACAGCTTGGCAGGCCGAGTAAAATGGTCCATGTAGAGCAACATCACAAAATGCCTTTTTTCCTGAATCCTGGTCATTTAGGTATATGTGCAGCCAATTTACCAAAAGATCTAGGCATGATTTTACAGTACTAGAGAGAAGAAAAATTCAAGTCAAATCCACTGGCTTCATAAAAACACTACAGTGACAGAAAACACAATGCCCCTCAGTGCAAACTAAAAGTCAATCCTTAGGCTTCTTTATATATTAGCCAGGGGCACAGAGGAGAATCAAACGAAGGAAATGCAGGGTAGGGGTGGGGGGACAATAGGCTCTAAGAACCCTGGAAGTCCCAAGGGATGAGATGGACACCAGTTTCTCATCAACACAGAAAAGCTTCTCCAATGCTCCCTCCACCCCCCAAACCCTCTTAAGAGAGATTTGGCAAAAGGGTGTTTACCAAAAGCTTGCAAGGAAAAGAGAAATGCTTTCACCATTCCCTATGGAATTCTAATGAAGCCCTTGTCAACAATTCAGGACAGAATGGCCAAATAGCTGTAGTTGTTAAGGGACTCCAATAGCATCCTTGCTCAAAGATATCTTCCTGGATCACTGGAAGAAATAGGCTTAGAGCTGGCCTCCTACATAGATTTTTCTGTTACCTTTACAAGGATTTTTTCTTCAGCTTTAACAGACATAATCGATTCAAAATGCAAATTAAAAAATGAGAAACCTATAAAAAGAATCAAAATAGTATACAACACTGCACACTACCCATGGAGACAAATGAATCTTCATGTTCAAGTACAGCCATTCTAAACAGAGAGCTTTACATGAGGTTTTACATATAAAACAGGAAATGTTTTATTTAGAAATTGCCTCTAAACATAAGGCAGATACTTCTCTGACTTGAGAATGCTATAATCTTTTAAAGCAATATACATATACACACACACACTCACACACACATACATACATACATACATACACACACTTGGAAAAATTAGGTTACTTACATAAGAGGAATAAATTTAGCTCTTGCCAAAAAGCTTCCTATATAATTTGCAGCAGCTTGCCTGATGATGGCAGGATTATTCGGATCCTGCAATTTTTTCCAGAGATGTTCCAAAAATGCTTCTGCAAATCCCTATAATAAAAGAAGGTGTTGGTCTGGTCTTTTTATTTTTTTAAATATATTTTATTGATTTCTTACAGAGAGGAGGAAAGAGAGAAAGAGAGCTAGAAACGTCGATGAGAGAGAAACATCAACCAGCTACCTCCTGCACACTCCCTACCGGGGTTGTGCCCGCAACCAATGTACATGCCCTTGACCGGAATCAAACCCGGGACCTCTCAGTCCGCAGACCGATGCTCTACCACTGAACCAAACCAGTTTTGGCTGGTCTGGTCTTTTTAAATGCTTAAGATCTCTAGCTATCTGAATCCTAAGATTTTAACTCACCAATGTGGGAAAGTTCTGGTACCTCAGTTATATCGCTAAATAACAGTTGTCATGGTTATTTTTAAAACACCTTGAGATAATATTAAAAACAAAAGGCTCCCGAGCATTAAATAATCCAATGGATCCCAAAACAAGCTAAGAATCAAAATCAACCTAACAGATTCAGTAGGTTTGTGAGAGGGATTTGCAATCACCTATTTTAAAAGCTCTACAAAGTGACCCTGACTTTTGGCAAGAACTGGAAACCAGCAATAATCCACACGCACATGGAAACCCCTTCTGCAGGACCTTTCAGAGTTCAAAGTAACCTTCCAGTGTTTGATTGCATGTATTGAACTTGACCAGTATGTGAGTCACTTGACTAATTATGCCAATCACAGAAAAAGACAGACCAGTGGTCGGCAAACTCATTAGCCAACAGAGCCAAATATCAACAGTACAATAATTGGAATTTCTTTTGAGAGTCAAATTTTTTAAACTTAAATTTCTTCTAATGCCACTTCTTCAAAATAGACTCGCCCAGGCCGTGGTATTTTGTGGAAGAGCCACACTCAAGGGGCCAAAGAGTCACAAGTGGCTCGTAAGCCTCAGTTTGCTTACCAGAGATAGACTGATTAAGCTTCTGTTTAACAAAGGATGCAACTTCCAATTTCTTCCAAATAGCTCTTTTCAAAAACTATTAACCTCTACTTGGACACAGACTGACTTTAACCTTCTTAACCATGACAATACCAATTGTTCAAGAAAGCTACAAAATAATTGCAAATGAGTAGAATCTTCCAATCACTTTTTTTTCCAAAATAGAAAACCTAACCCTAAAGTTATAAAATATAGATTCAAGAGTTAGTTTGGGCTACACAGGATCAACTAAGAGAGACTAAAAAAAAAAATAAAGTCAAATATCCCATCTGAGATTCTAATCCAACACCACCTAGTGGACCAAATGCAGGATGATGTTTTCAGAGCACGTGGCTGAGCTGGGAGACAGCAGTAACAATGCCCTCTGCTCTGCTCTATACTACACATTTAAGGGCATGTACTTTTTAAAAAATGTATTTATTGATTTTTTACAGTGAAGGAGACGGACAGAGAGTTAGAAACATTGATGATAAAAATATTGATCAGCTGCCTCCCGTATGCCCCATACTGGGTATGTGCCCGCTACCAAGGTACATGCCCTTGACCAGAATCGAACTGGGACCCTTGAGTCCGCAGGCCGATGCTCTATCCACTGAGCCAAACCAGCCAGGGCGGGCATGTACTTTATTAACGGTACTAGTAAAATTAACCCACAAAAAAGAAAAACCCCATGATCTCCCTTCCCTACTCCCTTCACCCCCGATTTTTAAGGGAAAACATGGGCAAGAATAAAATAAGTTTATGATAATATTGACATACTCACCAATTTAAAGCTACAGAGATAAAACATGAAAAACTGAACGTGGCAGGAGGCATGGGTGGGCAACAGGAGTTTATCAAAAATAATTATGAGCTCTCGATATAAATCCTTTGTTTTGTTGATATCAATCTTACCTATAGAGAAAATATGGCATTTCAGTTTTATAAATACATTATTTTCAAGTTTTATAATACATTATTTTATTAAGAAAAAAACATTAAGAAATAAAATCACTAAGAAATGGATGTATTTGTGCCATTTTTATTTTGCACAAAATTTCCTTCTCAAGTGTGATAACTCAGCTCTGGCAGGAAGCAGGCCCTCACCTCACACATACCGCTCTGATGCCACAATGTGAACCCTTCCAAAAGGCAATTTTACAATTCATGGGGCAGACGTCCTTTATTCCAATAATCCTACTACTAGGTACATATTAAAGCAAATGACTATGATAATGTACAAAATGTTCATTACACTTATTCATAATGACATAAAATGAGTGGGGGTAAAGGAGATCAGTTAAATCTCTATGATCAATAGCAACTAATTTAAAAGAACAGTGAATGATATGAGAAAAGGTTCACAATAGGTGAAAAGGGCAGATTATGAAATACTACATGTAGTGTGTATTTCACTGGAAAACTCTATACTAATAATAGAGGAATATGCAAATTGTCCAGGACACCATCACACTAAGAGTAATGACCAAAAAGCAGGCTGCTTGGAGCGACAAGGCTGGCCAGGGGGTTAGTGAGGGACGACCAAACAACTGAACAGCAGGCTGCATGGGACAACCAGGCTGGCAGGGGAGGGCAGTTGGGGGCGATTGAACCAGCAGGGAAGCAGTAAGGCATCAATCAGGCTGGCAGGGGAGTGGTTAGGGGGCAATCAGACTGGTAGGCAGAAGCAGTTAGGGGCAATCAGGCAGGCATGTGAGCAGTTAGGAGCCAGCAGTCCCAAATTCTGAGAGGGATGTCAGACTTCAGACCTAAACCAGCAGTTGAACATCCTCCAAGGGGTCCCAGATTGGAGAGGTTGCAGGCCGGGCTGAGGAACACCTCCCACCGCCCCCCCCCTCTAGTACACGTGTGTACACACACACACACACACACACACACACACACACACAAAAGCATTTATCAAAATGCTATTAAGTTTTTTGAATACTAGAAATGTGGCCATTTAAAAATCCTTTCAGTAAAAAAGTTAAAATAGTAACGTAGTCAAATCAGATTCAAGTCTTACTCTGAGTGGCTGAGTTTCACTCTTAAATCTAAATAATAAGAATGAAAAACAATTGTTTTCAAGGCAAAGCCTCTAGACTAAAAGTTCCATGCAACTAAACATTCCATGAAGACAAAAAGCATAGGATTTGTCCACTTCAGACCAGGACCCTCTACCTCAGTTGTAACACCAAGCGCAATATATCTATGTCTACTATACCATTCTTAAATGTCTTGAACAATTTGAGAGTAATCCGGTATCCACATAAAAATGGACCAATATATAATCTTAAGTGCCAATAAATCTTTATTTTTTAATGTGCCTCAGGCATGAAACAGCTGTGGCCAAGACAGGCATCAAGCTAGGATGAACTAAGACTGTCTATCTGCTTTGCCCCTGGTGGATATAAGACCACCACCACTCTCCCCTGCCTCAAGCAGGTGTCTCCTTGCCCATTTCTAGGGAGTGCCATATATAATCTTTTAACACAACAGTCAGTGAAAAGGTCCAAGGGCTTTGAAGACATATAACTGAGCCTGAATCCCAGTGACACCATTTCCAAGCTATGATATATTGGCAAGTAACTTAATCTTGCTAAACTTTCTTTTCCTAATACTTAAAATAGTGATTTTTACAGGGTTTCTATCAGCACAGAACCAGTTGCCTAGTAGGTGTTCAATAAACAGTAGCTATTGTGACTATTATAGGCTGTTACCATCTACATAGCAGACATCCTTCATGTAGGACAAAAGTAAAGACAGCAGGATGTCCAGGCGTTCGGCGACGGGATGTGCCATCTGATTGGGCCTTTCAGGGTCAGCCTTTGTTTCATTTTCAGGTACTTCGTCTTCATCCTTTAAAGATAATGTAAAAGTTGACATTTAAAAATTCAGGAGAAGTAATTTAGTGAGAAAACTGTTAGAGGTGATTATTTCCTTTAAGAGATAAAACAAAGAAAATACATATATACCATTCCAGGCAGCAGCTCTCAACCAGAGGTGTAAATCAGAACCAATCGTGAAATTCAAAATAAAAGCACAGGTTCAGAGCCCAGCCTCTAATTCTCATCTAGAAGACCCTCGTAGGGTGTGACCATGCAAACATTATAGACGCACCCACCTCCTGGCACCCACCAGGTCCTTCCCCTCTGCTCTTTTCTGCTTCCTCACACCCTTGTCCAAGGACACCCGAATCCCCATCTCAGGCTCTCCTCCCAGTGAACCCAACTTAAGAAATTTCCCAGGTAGAGAAATACTGCTTTAAGGTATATGACTTATAAAATATAAAAATTAAATTGGGGGGGGGGGGAGGGACAATAGTAAAATATGTACACAGATAATAATTTAATAAAAAAAAGTATTAAAAAAAATTTAAATTGGTATGCTCTTCTATTTTTCACTCCCTTGTCAATAATAATGTGGTCACAAAAACAAACATAAACAGAATGAAAGAGAAGCATGCTTTCCCAAACCCAAATTAAAACCTTGGAAATAAATCAACATGTTACAGTAAGCAACATGGAAGCAAACTACTTCATTTCAGAAATCACTTCCAAAACACACACACACACACACACACACACACACACACACACACACAAAAAAAAAAAACCCACCCGATTTTCAAGTTTGAACTACTGTTTTAAACTAAAGCCTTAAAGAAGATGGTATGCCATTAGCTGTCTCTTCCCTCCCTCTGGACTCATATAGTCAGGTCTGACTGCTTTTACTAATAAATGCTGACCATATTAAATAGTCCTTCTGTGGCATCTGTTCCACTACCAGTTTGAGTTGCTATTTCCTCAGCATCTTCAATATCCTGCCGGGATGCATTCACCTACATTATAACAAAGAAAAAAACAAAACAAAACATTTAAAATACATTTTCGGGAACTGAAAATTCATTTGATGTATATACCTTACAGGTGTCCAGATTAGCACTGTAACTCATTACATAATTAAGGTGCAAACCTAAAATTGGTTTGGATCATAAAGGAAATTACAAGATCATAAATCAAGTTCCTTTTACCATATATCATTAGTCCGCAAACTGTGGCGCTTGAGTTGCAGTTTACCACACTGTTGACTAATGAGTTTGCTGACCACTGGGATAGGGGTTTAATCACAAGGAACAACAGCCTATAATTATTATTTTTTTAAAATATATATATTTTATTGATTTTTTTACAGAGAGGAAGGGAGAGGGATAGAAAGTTAGAAACATCGATCAGCTGCCTCTTGAACTCCCCCCACTGGGAATGTGCACGCAACCAAGGTACATGCCCTTGACCGGAATCAAACCCGGGACCCTTCAGTCTGTAGGCTGATGCTCTATCCATTGAGCCAAACAGGTTTTGGCCAGCCTATAATTATTGGAATCAAGAGTCTAGGTCAGTGGTCGGCAAACTCATTAGTCAACAGAGCTCCAGTTTGCCAACCACTGCCATATGCTTATATAAAATCAGCATGATTTTATATAAGCATATGTGGTGTACTAGTCTAAATTTGGATAGCTTTTACAAACTCAGTATCTATTCCAACTCGTACTATACACAAGATACTCACATACATGTTATATATGAATGAGAAGCATATCATCAATTTACTGAGCAGAAAAATGATGAAATGCAAGTTAAATTTGAACTATGAATATTCATTGTTATGTAACCCTTCAAATATCTTTTTAAAATATCATTCAAATCATGCCTTTATTGCTATCTAAACATGATCATCTTCCTAAATGCACTCTAAAATGTTCCATAAGTCAGACCAGATAAGACTTTACAAAGATTCTAGATGCAGTTTGGCAGAGGTTAACTCTAAGTGAGCACTGGGGAAGCCTGCCTAACATCCAGCACTTGCTAGACTTGCCTCATTACAGCCTTCTTCTCCCCTGCAGAATCAATGTTCTCCAACTCATCTCTTCAGTCCACAAACCTCAAGTCTCCCCAACACTAACATTTGCCACTCTCCCCTGCCTCATCCTCTTTACACCACAAACCCTCATAGAGATCTCTCAGCAACTTCACTTCCTAACCATCCAGATCCTCTAAAATGCAGTGTCCCCCGCCATTTGGACAAAGCAACAGATTACTCCCCACTCACCAAATCCAAGGACTCTAGCTTTTCTAATTCTCCTATAAAATGTCAGCTATATTTCATGCTGTTGACCAAACCCTACCCATATATCCACACTCTTGGTTTTCCTCCCACTTCCAATCATACTTCCTCTCTCCTATCCTAAATTGCATCATTCCACAGGTTTATACTCAATCCCCTACCTGCAGCTACAGCTGCTTGGTGAGTATTCACCTGTCAGCTTCCAACCTGCACACCTCAGAATCCATCTAAAATGGAGCTCATCAATCTTCAAACTTCCTTAAGGCTTTTCTTATACTGTTAACGTCAACACCAAGATTCTATTCCACAGTGAGGTACCTTTGAAGGATTCTTTTCTTTAATCCCTACTTCTCCACTTCCTACTCAGTCTAGAGGAACAAATCCACCTTTCTTCCACAATGTCAAGAGAATCCACTTTCTTTCATTCCTATTGCACCTTATTGCAGGCCTCTTTAAATGCTTTCCCGACTCCTTATTACATCAGATTTCCCAGGTCATAGCAATGTGTGTATTCCATTCATAACATTTACCTCAACTACATTTTTATATTGGTGTAACTAATTAATGCCATGAGCCCCAACCATGAGAGATGGGACTGTCTATAACCCCCAGCACTTCAATGAATTTCAAAAATGTACAAATAAATGAATCAAAAGTGGAACTATGGATTCTTTTCCATTGCTACTGTTTTACATATTATGATTATAATAAATATATTTAATAAAGAAAAATCAAGGAGAAAAACATACTATTAAATACTTACATCCAATTTGAGTAGTTTTTCAACGACAAGCTCCAGAATTTCATGCCTCAAGGTTGGAAAATACACACTAATTCTTAGTAAGTTATGAACATAACATTCCTAAAATAGGAAAAAATAAACATTTCAACAGAGAATGTTTCAGTTATGTAAGAAAAGCATCAATTACACAATCTTTATTTCCAATTACTGAAATAGGAAAAACTATACTGTTTATATATTCAGTTTCTGCCTGTATATAACGGAGTAGCCTGTTGCCATGTCAATAGGTAGTTCAGTAATAATCAAATTACCACCAATAAAATTAATTTGTAATTTGTATACTTCTACAGTTATTTAAAAAAAAAAAAAAAAAAAAAAAAAATATATATATATATATATATATATATATATATATATAGTGTTCATAATACAATTCACCCACTTAAAGTGTACAGTTCAAGCCGAAACCGGTTTGGCTCAGTGGTAGAGCGTCGGTCTGCGGACTGAAAGGTCCCAGGTTCGATTCCGGTCAGGGGTATGTATGTTGGCTGCGGGCACATCCCCGATAGGGGGTGTGCAAGAGGCAGCTGGTTGATGTTTCTCTCTCATCGACGTTTCTAGCTCTCTATCTCTCTCCCTTCCTCTCTGTAAAAAATCAATAAAAATATATTAAAAAAAATAAATAAATAAAGTGTACAGTTCAAAGTTTTTAGTATATTAAGAATTGTGCAACCATCACGATAATCAGTTATAGCACATTTTCATTACCCTAAAAAGAAAGTTATCTTTTTAAAAAAAATGTTTTGTTTTTAAATATGTTTTATTGAATTTTTACAGAGAGGAAGGAAGGGAGTTAGAGAGCCAGAAACATTGATGAGAGAGAAACATCTATCAGCTGCCTCCTGCACACCCCCTACTAGGGATGTGCCCGCAACCAAGGTACATGCCCTTGACCAGAATCGAACCCGGGACCCCTCAGTCCACAGGCTGACGCTCTAACCCCTGAGTCAAACCGGTTTCAGCAAAATATATGTTTTATTAATTTCTTACAGAGAGAAAGGGAGAGGGACAGAGAGCCGGAAACATTGATAAGAGAGAAACACTGACCAGCCGCCTCTTGCACACCCCCACCAGGGGTGTGCCCACAACCAAGGCACATGCCCCCGACCGGAATCGAACTTGGGACCCCTCAGTCCACAGGCCGAAGCTCTATCCACTGAGCCAAACCGGTTTCAGCAAAACCCTGTTATCTTTTAGTCAAGTACCTCTCCCCAACCCTTGGTAACCACTAGTCTTTTTTTTTTATCTCTGAAATAGAAAAAATAGACTATCTAGTAACATAGAAACTATACTGAAAAAAATATGAATTTACCTATTCTAGACATTTCATATAAGTGAAATCTCAAACTATATGAGATTTCATGGTCCACTCATGTTAAAGCAAGTAAGCTATTCAATTGCTAAAAATACTCCACTGTAGACATAACACCCACATTTTGTTTGCTTATCACTTAAAACATTTAGCAGTTTCCATGTTTTTGCTATGATAAATAATGCTGCTTTGAACAGTCACATAAGTTTTGTGTGGACAAATGCTTTCATTTGTTTTGGGTATATATGCAGCAGTGGAAATGCTGGGTCATGTGTTTTTTTTTTTTTTTTTTTGAGGAACTGTCAGACTGTTTTCTAAAGCAGCTGCACAATTTCCCACTCTCATCAGCAATGTGCATTGTTCTGATTTCTCCACATCTTCACCATCTCTTGATGTTATTCATCTTTTTATAGTACAACAATCCTAGTAGTTGCTGTCTGTCAAAAGCCTTTTCTACATCTATTGCAATGATCATATGGGTTTTGTTCTTTATTCTATTGACATGGTAGGTTATAATTGATTTGGAGTATTAATCTAATATTGTATTCCTAGAATAGATACATTTCACTTGGTCACGGTGCACAATTCTTTTTATATGTTGCTAGATTCAGATTCTAATTACTTTGTTGAGAACTTTTGCACCTATGTTCATAAGAGATACAGGATTTATAATATTCCTCTTAAAGCAGACTATCACTACCATTAGCAAAATTTACCAACTCCTTATTTAATGCTTGTAATAACTTACTTAGGAAAAAGTAATCTATGCTTAGAAGGGAACCTCTATCAGTTATTGAAAACAATACAGATGACCTAAAACTTGGAAAAGAAGTTAAACTTAAAACAGAATTCACGTAATAGAAGGCTCTGTCTTCATGTTCAAATAAGGCGTATTTCCATTGATAATATAAGAGTTATTACCATCTAATAATTTTTATCTGTATAATCATGAAGCCTATTCAAATATTTTTGAAAAGGGCCCCTGTGATGCACACAGGAATCAAAGTGGCACTGGGGACACTCAGTCACTGGCTAAGAAAGGAATTTGAGTCAAATTCTTATATCCAAGAGCATCTAAAACCAAATCACATAAAACAATTTTTCCATTATTTCCCCCATAAAAATATTTCTTACCAATGTTCTCTCTGATTTCTGAACAAATGGAAATTTTCCTACGAGTATTGGCATTAGAAACCACGGTGTCCTATAAAAAAAAAAAAAAAATCAAACAATCCATGTTAGCTGCTGTCTTGGGAAGGAGCATTTCCATTGTAAGTGCAAATGTGGATACATGGGGCAAACAGTAATGCCTACCTCAAGCAATTAGAACTTAAAATTAATGCATGCCTTCACAGAAAATCTGTAATTTATGGGAAAATAAGCTTCTATAACCTTTGATATCAACTACATATTAAAGGGGAATTCTTTTTTTTCTTTTTTTACAAAAGCAAATCATCAACTTGGACTTTTTAAAAGTTAGCAAATAAATTTAGAGGGAACATGAAGTCCACCCCTCCAAAAGAAACCTACACAACTTAAAAAGTTTTTTTAAGCCGGGACCGGTTTGGCTCAGTGGATAGAGCGTCGGCCTGCGGACTGAAAGGTCCTGGGTTCGATTCTGGGCAAGAGCATGTACCTTGGTTGCAGGCACATCCCCAGTGGGGGATGTGCAAGAGGCAGCTGATTGATGATTCTTTCTCATCAATGTTTCTAACTCTCTATCCTTCTCTCTTCCTCTCTGTGAAAAATCAATAAAATATATTTTTTTAAAAATTGTTAAAAAGTTTTCTGCAATTTTTATTCAAATGGCATGTCACAAAATCAGAGACGTTGCTCACTGAAAATTTTTGGGTATCTTATCTGTTGAAAATAAAAGCAAAATTCCAACCATTATACATAACTTGGAAGAGAAATTTGCATCCAAGTTTTCAAAAATAAAGACAGTGAATAAAGAACTAAAATGCCATTTTTTTGTTAGAATGTGATGTTATAACAACAGGATGCAAAAAAACGCAGCACACAATGTGAATTTTGCTTCTATAAACAAGTTTTAGTTTCCTACTAATTGATTACAATTTTCTTGATTCAAAGTAAGTAACAAAAGTATACTCACGATGGGACATATCTTGCTATTATTTGCAAGGCCCTGTGACAAGTGTCAAAATTTGCAGGAAGATCTACAAGACAAAAAATGAGAGCATGAACATCAAAGTAAAACTGAAAACTGAAAAATTATGTACTGGAAACTAAAAGCACCTGTAACCAAAACTGAATCATTTAATAACAAAATAATAATTTCAATATTTCTCTCCATAGCCAACTATTAATGAAGAATAAATGGACTAATAATATAACTAATGCATTAAGGGCAATTGATTGCATGTTAGTGCTCAATAAAAAGCAAAGGTTCCATTAAGATTGCCATTAAGCTTTATCATTCAACATGCATTCTCTAAGACACAGTAGGCATTAATTTTTTGCTTTAATATACTTTATACTTACTATCATCTTCGTCATCAGAATCAGAAACATCTATGTCACCTTCCTTAATGACCACTCGGGCTTTAGAAGGAAAAATAAAATATGTTATTCTCCTGTCATTGCTCTATACAAAAAAGTGATTTTTCCCCCATGATCTAAACTAGCATAATGATTTAATTCATAATCTAGAGGGAAAAAAGTCAAGTAACTTTATAGTTTTTAAACAACTAAAAATTCCTAAGTTCTAAGACTTTGCCAGAAGTTCACTAAAGTAAATTACAACCCATAAAAATCACTGCGACAAACAAACCTAAACATTTCTGCAGTACAGGGAACAGTGATGTACCAGAACTGCTGCCAACATGTGTTCTGGAATCGTCAATGGTGGCCCGATCTCCAAAGTGTTATTTGGAAGGTAGCATTTAATAGAGATATTTAAAAAGTGAAAAATCAAAGCAAGCAAAGAGGAACCACTTACGAGGCACAAAATGAGAAGCAATCATGCTGAGACATGGTCTAAGGAAGACAGTCTGTGCTGATACAAGATTACCAAGAAAAGCCAAATATTCCTCCACCACTGTCTGACTTCTATTCAACCACTGCAACCTCTAAAGACAGGAGGAAGAGAAAGACAAAAGAAACATTTCATCGATGCAAAAAATAATATTTCAAAGTACTGAATTACATACTAGTCAGTGAAATAAATGGTGAACTTACCAAGAGAATATTGATAAGCTGCTCGAAGTCTTTGGTCAAGTACATGATAGAAGACCGGAATTCTAACAGCCAGTTAATGATCTGGTCATCCTTAAGTTAAACAAAAAACAAACAAACAGTACTTTCAAAATCATAAATCCTCTAAAATATCAGAGAAGATGATATCTATCTTACACCAATCACCTATCAATAATTACATTAGAAAAAGTCACAAACTTGAACTTAATTCAAAATTGAGATGAAAATTTCTGAATTTGTATCAAACTGGAAAAAGATGTTGCAATCAATTTTCTAATTTTAGAAAAAACTTTTGTAGTAACTTTTACATAGGGAGGGAGGAAATTAAATGTAGTACTTTCTCCTCATCACTTTGGTTTGCCCTAAAAAGGCGAAAACCCCTCAAACTTTGATACCTGGGACTTGCAATATTCAAATATTGTAAGACCACAAGGACCTCTATCTCCTCTATATTAATGCTGACATAAAAGCATACTTATAACATTCAGTCTAAGCTGATTAACTAGAGTTATCAATAAATATAAAATTTTCTCAACCTAATCTGACATTGGATTTAGATGTATCAAGATGGTACATGTTAATGATGATTCCTCTACTCCATGAAATATTTTTAGGCAATAAAATTATTATTTACAATTCTTAATGATATGGAATAAAACTGCTAAATGAAAAGAGAAATCTTTGCCCTAACCGGTTTGGCTCAGTGGATAGAGCGTCGGCCTGCGGACTCAAGGGTCCCAGGTTCGATTCCAGTCGGGGGCATGTGCCTTAGTTGCGGGCACATCCCCAGTGGGGGGTGTGCAAGAGGCAGCTGATCAATGATTCTCTCTCATCGATGTTTCTAACTCTCTATCCCTCTCTTCCTCTCTGTAAAAAATCAATAAAATATATTTAAAAAAAAAAAAAAAGAAATCTTTGACAAGTCTGAAAATTAAACTTTAACCCATGGGTATTTTATTTTTTTAATTTAATTTTATTTATTTTTTTTTTGAAGACCAATGGAACTAATTTTATTTCGTACATATATTTTAGTCCAGTAAACAAGATATTATTGTATTTCTCTGCTAGTAAATCATATTCTCTCCAAATATGTAGACAAGAGGCTTAATGCATTATAAAAGTATCATGAAGAGACATTAAGATTGATGCAAACTGCCGAAACCGGTTTGGCTCAGTGGATAGAGCATCGGCTTGGGGACTGAAAGGTCCCGGGTTCGATTCCAGTCAAGGGCATGTACCTTGGTTGCGGACATATCCCCAGTGGGGGTTGTGCAAGAGGCAGCTGACTCTTTCTCATTGATGTTTCTAACTCTCTGTCTCTCTCCCTTCCTCTCTGTACAAAATCAATAAAATATATTAAAAAAAAAAAAGGTTGATGAAAACTTAAAAACACATGCGCACACACAAGACTTTGTCTCAGCCACCTTCCTCCCTCGGCAACGCCCCGGGGCTCCGCAGGGCCGCTCCCAGACCTTATCACCGACTACAACACAGGCAGTCACATTAGGAAACGTGCCCCTTTGATCTGTTGGTTACTAACCCATGGGTATATTTTTTAAAAAGAAAAGAAAAGCAAGCCATGAATAAAATATAGTATCAAGTTACATAAAATAATTTATAAACATGCATATATACAACATAAAAACAAAACAAAACTAAAAGCCCCCGTTGTTTTGTTTTTTTTTAAAGAAAATGGTTAATGCAGATTAAGACTCAGTTAGGGAAAGATCTCTAATAAACAAAAGCAGTACAGTGTTGTAGCTAGAGTGATACACTATTAAAAGACAGGGTTGAACCAACAGTTATAGACTATTTTATAGAGTATCATTTAGTGAGAACACACCAGCTGGTAAGCATGGTGCTCAATCCCACCCATGTATCTTTTCCTAATCCTGCCAACACTGCAAAAGTATTTACAGTTCAGAGAAAGAGAGATTACTAAGCAACTTGCCCAACCAAGAAGCCAATAAAGAACCAGGTTTAAACCTGTCTGTCTGGGTCAAAGCTTAAGCTCCACCTACTCTCTCACAATGCCGTGCACCACCTTTCCCCACCTTCGTTCAACCACTACTGCTTTCTATGTGCTCACCTAGACTATTTTCTGATGAAACCCCAAAGTAAGCTGCCAGTAAAATAAAGTAAATCACAACTCATTTGCCATATGGTAATTTTATAACGTCCACAACCATGTAGGATAACATTAATGGTGGCTCACCACCACCTGAGCAAAGACCAGCTGAGGTATTTGCAAATAAAATGAGTTAGCTCTATCCTATCTCTTTCCCATAAAAAAACAAACAAACAAACAAAAAAACTACATACGACAAAATTATAAGAATGATACTTAAACTACTCCATTTTTAAAAATAAACCAGTCAGACTTTGGTGCGTTAGTACTGAATTATCTGAAGCAAATTACTTGCAACAACCCTCTGAACTAACTTAGACACAACTAATGTGATTATCTGTATGTCAAGATACCAAGAATGAGAAATGCCGACATAAAAAAGTGGAACACAGCCCAAATGGTGTTGCTCAGTGGTCGAGTACTGCCCTATGAACCAGGAGGTCATGGTTTGATTCCCAGTCAGGGTACAGGCCCTGGTTGTGGGCTTGATCCCCAGTGGTGGTTGTGCAGGAGGCAGCATGATCAATGATCCTCTCTCTCATTGATGTTTCTATCGCTGTCTCCCTCTCTGAAATCAATAAAAATATAATTTTTAAAAATACAGAGGAACACAAAGAAAAGGTCCTTTGTACTTTGAAAGAAAACATAGGTCAGGGAAAGTCCTCAGGAAGTGATGCTTCTGCTGTCTTTAAAAAGAGTGAGTGTGCTTGGGGGGCTAGATTCCAAGCACACTCAGGAAGTGATGCTTCTGCTGTCTTTAAAAAGAGTGAGTGTGCTTGGGGGGCTAGATTTATAAAAAAAAAAAAATCAGTAGTTCAGTATGGCTGGAGTACATGGTGAGCAAGAAAATAGATAAACCTGGGGAGCATAGAAGGGCTCTCGACTGAAGTCCTTGTAAGACAGATGTGCAATCAGAAAGATCTGCTGGAAGTGTGGGGAACAGACTGAATGAACCACCATGTGCTTAGATAGAATCAGCGAAGTTCCATTACAGATGATATTTTAGCTGGACCTCAAAGACTAGGAATTTTGTAAATTATCGTAATATTACAGACGGTCCCCTACTTATGATGATTTGAAGTACAAATTTTTGGCTGCCCAATGATGACATATACATTCAGTAGAAACCATACTTCAGATCTTAAACTCTGATCTTCTCCCAGGCTATGATATGCGGCATAAAGCTGAGCAATAGTAGCAAGATGGTTTTGTCCAGTTGCGGGCTGTTGTAAGTGTTCTGAGCATGTTTAAGGTAGACTAGGCTAAGCTACAGTGTTTGGTGTATTAAATCCATTTTTGACTTAAGGTATTTTCAACATACAATGGGATGGAATGCCATTATAAGTTGAGGAACACTTGTAATAGTAAACACTAATATTATACTTTGTGCCAGGCACTGTTCTAAGACATTAAGATATAGTAACTCATTTAATTCTTACAACCACTCATTTAGTTAAGCATTCCCATTGGTTCCCATGTTATAGATGGGGACATGGAGGCACAAAGTGCAGTAATTTGCTTTCAGTCACAAAGCTAGCCAGATACAGAGAACCTCTGGCAGCCAGAGAGAAAAGGCACACATAAAGGCATAAAGATAAAAAGTATGAAATGAAGTATCTAATAAGATTGAACATTAAAAAAATACGATAGGCCGTAAAAAGAACTTGGTCCTTTATTCTTCAAATAGAGGCAGATTTGTACACATTGAAAGGATATTAATTAGAAGGTGGCCAGCAGGACTGGGTGAGATAGGTCGGACACACCCTGGAGTCAACCTCCCATTGTCCCTCCCCGGCCAGCCGTACCTGGGGCCTGGGGCAGTGCTGCAGCTTGAAGGGATATCTGTGGAGTGAGCGGGGTCCCTTTGGCTGGGGTGGGTCCCCAGGCTTGGCCTGGGGAAACCTGCAGTCCAACATCCCCCAAGAGGTCCTAGAGTGCGAGAGGGCACTCTGCAAAGTTGCTGTCACTCAGCAGCTCCTGCATTGAGCATCTGCCCTCTGGTGGTCAGTGCACGTCATACCTACCACCTGGTCAGCTGATCACTTAGCCTTTTATATCCTATATAATAAAGCCTCATATGCAAATTGACCAAACAGCAGAACAACCAGTCACTATCATACACACTGACCATCAGAGGGAAGATGCTCAATGCACGAGCTGCCCCCACCTGCAGGCCCCAGGCCAGCCAAAGCAGGTGCCAGTGGGGACCCCTGATTGCCTGCCAGTCACCCCACAGATTGGCCCTGATCTCCGGCCAGGTCTAGGAACCTTACCCATACACAAATTTTGGGCATCAGGCTTCTAGTATATACATAAGTATGTTCAGTAGAATAATGACATAGTTAGCATGTGCTTTGGAAATCATTAGGCTGCACTATTGAGGATAAAAAAATTTTAATAGGGGGTGAGATAGAGTAGAACTGGAACCTGAAGACCACTAAAGACATTATTGAAGGAATCTAGACAGACTCAAAACAAGGCCCAAAAGATTTTTATCCCCCAAAGGACAAGAGTATGAGATTTGGGAAGAAAAAAAAGCCCAGTCCTGACAGGTTTGGCTCAGTGTATAGAGCATCAGCCTGCAGACTGAATGGTCCTAGATTTGATTCCAGTCAAGAACACGTGCCTAACCATCAACAAAACAACAAGAAAGCCCATGGTGTGGGAGAACATATTTGCAAATAACACCACTGATAAAGGTTTAATCTCCAACATCTACAGACAACTGATACAACTAAATAAAAGGAAGATGAATGATCCAATTAAGAAATGGGCAATGGACCTAAATAGAATATTTTCAAAAGAAGACAGAAGGAAGGCCAAAAGGCACATGAAAACATGCTCAAAGTCACTAATTATCCGAGAGATGCAAATCAAAACAACAATGCGGTACCATCTCACACCTGTCAGAATGGCCAACATCAACAAATCAACAAACAACAAGTGTTGGCGAGGTTGCGGAGAAAAAGGAACCCTCGTGCACTGCTGATGGGAATGCAGACTGGTGCAACCACTGTGGAGAACAGTGTGGAGTTTCCTCAAAAAACTGAAAATGGAACTCCCATTTGACCCAGTAATCCCACTTCTAGGAATATATCCCAAGAAACTAGAAACACCAATCAGAAAGGATATATGCACGCCTATGTTCATAGCAGCACAATCTACAATAGCCAGAATTTGGAAATAGCCTAGGTGCCTGTCAGCAGATGATTGGATCCAAAAACTGGGGTACATCTACACAATGGAATACTATGCTGCCATAAAAAAGAAGGAATTCTCATCATTTGCAGCAACCTTGATGGAATTGGAGAACATCATGCTGAGTGAAATAAGCCAATCAATGAAAGAGAAACACCACATGACCTCACTCATTTGTGGATAATGAAGAACATTATAAACTAATGAACCAAAAGATAGATATGGAGACAGTAAAGCAACAAGCAGATTGTCAAATCACAGCGGGGAGGGGAGGAGGATCTGGGGGAGATAATAGATCAACCGAAGGACTTGTATACATGCATATAAGCACAACCAATGGACATAAAACTCTGGGGAGGGAAGGGATGTGTGGGAGGGAGAAAGGAGGGCAAAAAAAATCAATAAAATATGTAAAAATAAATAAATAAATAAATAAGAACACATGCCTAGATTAAGGGCTCGATCCCCAATAGAAGGCATGCAGGAAGCAGCCCATCAATGATTCTCTCTCTCTCTCTCCCCCTTCCTCTCTGAAATCAATAAAAATAAAAATAAAAATCCCATCAAAATCAATATGTAAGAAATCACTGGTAATCTTTTCATAGTAATTATAGCAGTGGTCTTAACCATGAATGGGAAATAAGAAAGTGCAAATCATTAGCAGAATAACAGATAACAGTTACAAAGCCCTTAATTTGAGTGAGAGCCTGTTTACTAGTAAGTGCTTCTCATATTATTAACTCACTGGATCCTCTTAACACCTCTATGTTTAAAAACCTTCTACTGGTTTTACATAGAGGTGGCAAAAACAGAGATTAAATTACTTGTCCAAGATCACACCCTGAATAACAGTGGCGTTGGAATTTTATCCCAGGCAATCTGACTACCACTGTCATGATAATAGAGGATTCTTTCCAATATTGGACAATAAAGGAAGAAAAGGGAAACAAAATGTGTTGAATTGTTATATACCATATCTTGAACTCTGAAACACTGAAAAAGTAGCAGCTTGAAAGACAAATCATCTTTTGTTGTTTCTTTGTTTTGTTTATGCATTAGAGAGACATGAGAGTTACCTACAGCATAGAGGAAGAATATTAGGAAATTTTAAAATAGAGTTTCTCCCCCTTGGGACTACTGACACTTTGGGCTGGATAATTCTTTGTTGTGGAAGGCTGCCCTGTGCATTGTATTATAGAATGTTTAGCAACTACCTGTCATCCACTCACCGGAGACCAGTAGCACCCTTATCTTCCTCCTGTTATGACAACCAAAACTGTCTCGTTTATCACTGTATAAAAGAAGGGGTTGGTTCTAGCTGGTTTGGCTCAATGGTTAGAGCATCAGCCATGGACCTAAGTGTCATGTTTTGATTCCAAGTCAAGAGCATGTACCTGGGTTTCAGGTTCAACCCCTGGCCTCGGTTGGGGAGGCAACCAATCGATGTGTCACTCTCACATCATGTTCCACCCCCCTCTCCCTTCTACTTTAAAAATCAATGGAAAAAATATCGGATGAGGATTTAAAACAAAAAAATAAAGGAGTGAAACTGCCCTTAATTGAGAACCACTGAGTTAAAATAAGATTGGATCCACCCTCAGGATGACTCAGAGTATCATCCTGTTCACCAAAAGGTTATAGGTTTGATTCCCAGGTTGTAAGTTCAAATCCTCCTCTCTGAAATTAGTAATTAATAAATGAATAAATAAACAAATAAATCACACACACACATATATTCTGATGAGGACAAAAAACAATCTTAGAAAAAAGAAAGAAAAAAAAGATGGGATCACAGAGGGAATAGGTTTTAAACAATGAGATAGGATCAAACAGAAGTGCAAACTAACATCTGTCCTAAGTGGCAACGACTTTAATAATGATCAAACATAAAATTAATTACCTTTATGTCTGGATCTGACAGCTGGTTCTTCAACAACTCATAGTCATTTGTTTCACCCTTAACAAGAAGGGGGGGAAATTAGGTTTTACTTGGTTTAGTTTTCTATTGAAGATCAAAGAGCCTTTAATTGTATCTTAATATCTGATGAAATTACAAAAGAAACATTGTAACTTCCACACATCAATTGTGGATTACAAAATCCACAGAAATTTAAAAAAACTCATATTAGTGGGGCTAGGGGCCTTAGAAAAAAGAAAGTGAAATTAAAAAGTAATTTATTCTAGGAATTACTTTTTCTATTTGTAATTTACCTAATAAACGTTCTCTTACAAAAAAAAAAAAAAAAAAAAATTAGCCCAACTGGTATGCTCAGTGGTTAAGCGTTGACTTATGAACCAAGAAGTCATAGGTTCGATTCCCAGTCAGGGAACATGCCTAGGATGTAGGCTCAAACCCCAGTAGTGGGTATGCAGGAGGCAGTCAATCGATGTTTCTCTCTCCCTTCCTTCCTCTCTCTCTAAAATCATTAAAACCCCCTTTTTAAAAAGTAATTTAAATAGGTACACTTGTGTACTGACATTTGAATGATAGTTGATACTATCCATCACATATATAGATATAATTGGGTATTATATATAAAATAGTCATTATATGTCAATTATACCTCAATTTAAACAAAACAAATTCTTATTTTTCCCTCCATTGCTGAGACTTAGTGGAATCACTTTTAAATTAACACAAAAATAAACCCAAAATATTCCTCTTAATGGTTTATTGTTCCAAATAATGCTTTAGTAATTCCTTGAGAAATAAAATGCTATGTTCTATGGTGTTTTTACTCTAGCACTTGCTAAAAAACAAAGCATGTAAATAAAGCAACTGAAGAGGTGAAACTTCAGCAAGAAATTATTATTCTAATTTTGAGCTGACAGCATCATGCTATTATTAAATATTTGATTTCAAGATATATATCTAAAATTCATGTTATTATGTTAACTAAAGAATATAATAGCTATCTGTGTATTCTGGCCAACAAAAACCAAATCTCAATGTCAATTATATCAATAAAGCTGGGGAAGGGGGCACCAAACTTCATGTGTTATCTGTTACCTTTTTGTATTTCAGCAAGACTTCTGTGACTGTTCCACCAAATCGAACAGTTTTTCTTGGGGGAGAGTTGAAGAAATCATTCTCTAATTCAAGCACATCTGAAATCCTGTACAACCAAGATTACCAAGCTATTAAGTATATGACAGAGAATGATAAAAATCACAACTCAGCATCTATCAACCCATCACCATTCAGTGAGACATACTATCCACTCACACTCTAAACCGAGTGCTTCACTGTTCTCCCTGCTTCCACTCTTATCCCCCAACAATCCATTCTTCACTCAGAAATCTAATATTTCAAAAGCTTAAAACAGATCATGCTACTTGATGTTCAACTTTCCAAAAGTTTCCTACTTCACTCAGAATACAAATCCCAATTCCATAATGAGGTCTTCAAGGTCCTCATTAATCTGGCCCTTCTACCGCTCTGACCTCATTTCCAACTCCTTACTAGGCTGCAGTCAATGTCCTTTCCATTCTTTGCAAAGCTGGTTCCTGTTTCCACTTGCCGTTCCCTCCATCTCTGTGATTTTCAAACTTGTCCATCTCATGGCACAAAAACTAATTACTAAAATTCTGCAAACACACCAGGATATATATTTTTTGCTAATCTGACCAAAAAATATAGGAAATACCCTAGCCGGTTTGGCTCAGTGGATAAAGCTTCGGTCTGCAGACAGATGAGTCCCGGGTTCGATTCTAGTCAAGGGCATGAGTAAGCCCGGGCTCCCTAAGTGCATACTGAAGGTGGGAGAGAGGCCGGAAAGGTTAATCTGTTTTCTGCTCCAGAGTCCGGTTTTCTCCTCACTGAGCCCCTCTGTCATAGCGACCCAGGCCTGGTACCGTCTTGTGCCTTTAACTCCTCCCTCCCGCTTCTCCATTAGATTTGGAAAATTTCCTATTTGGATTGTCAGCGCAATGCTGTCATTTGTGGCAAATTAAATCGGATGCCTGCGTGCAGGAGGCAACCAATCCATGTTTCTCTCATCAATATTTCTCTGTCTTTCCCTCTCTCTCTAAAAATCAATGGAAAAATATCTTCAGAAAATATTTTTTTATAATGATGTTAAAAAACAGATAAATACTAAATAAAAAATAAAAAAAAGGTAAAATTGTAGCCCTAACCAGTTTGGCTCAGTGGATAGAGCGCTGGCTGTAGACTCAAGGGTCCCAGGTTGGATTCCGGTCAAAGGCATGTACCTTGGTTGCGGGCACATCCCCAGTAGGGAGTGTGCAGGAGGCAGCTGATCGATGTTTCTCTCTCATCGATGTTTCTAACTATCACTCTCCCTTCCTTTCTGAAAAGAAGCAGTTTAAAAAAAAAAAAGGTAAAATTTTGATTCATTCACACCAGATGGCTATTGTGTTATTGTAGTTTTTGTGACAATCTAAAGGAAAAGAGGTTAGTGACCTGAATAAATAGTTAAGTATTACACGTTTTTAAAATTCTTGTATCACTCCGGTTGAAAATCATTGGTCTACCTGAAACACTCACTACTCAGATCTATACATGGTTGAATTGTCTTCATTCAAATTGAAGTTCAAATGTCAGAGGTCTTACCCATCAGAAATCTGAAATACCCATCCTCTCTCTCCCTGCCCAACACTGTTTTATTTATTCCCTGCAGTTATCATTATATGAAATTATCTTGTTCATCTATTTACTGTCTTTCTCTTCCTAGACTGTAAAATCTGTTGGAGTTACTTTTGTGTCTTTTGACAGACTGCTTTCCCAAGTGTCTAAAACAGTAGGTAGGAGCTTAATAAATATTATAACGAATCATATTACGCTAGGTGTTTCACAAAGTTTGCTTCTTTTAAACAGCAGATTAGTGAAAAACATACAATCCTACTAGTGACTCTCAAGAAGGTAAGCCCCAAAATACTTTTTTTAGGGGGTAAGGGATTTTAAAAATTTGAACAAGATAGAGACACATGTTACACATGTGTCTCGAAGCAAATCTCAGACAAAGAAGTAAAAGTCAATTTGCCACCAATGACAGCATTGCGCTGATGATCCAAATAGGAAACTTTCCGAATCTAGGCGAAGAAGCGGGAGGGAGAAGGCCCAAGACAGTACCCAGGCCTGGGACGCTATGACAGAGGGGCTCGGGGAGGAGAAAACCGGACTCTGGAGCAGAAAATAGATTAATTTTTCCGGCCTCTCTCCCACCTTTAGTATGCACTTGGGGAGCATGTGCTTACTCTTGAGAACCTGAGGTGATCCTCTCCCCTCTTTCTCTCCGCCCGCCGCACCCCCCCACCCCACCCCCGCCACCATTTGGCGGTCCCGGGCCCGCTCAGACCCGCTCCCTCACGCCGGTCCCGCGGTCTGGCCCCGGCAGCGCTGCGGGAAGCCGCCCGGACTCACCCGGTCCTGGATGCGCGCAGCGTCTTCACTCCAGAGGCCGCAGCGGCTGCATCTCCAAGCAACCGCGTGTGGAGCAGTGGAGCCGCCATTGGGCCCGACTAATGCGACATCTGCGCCTCGCGCCGGAAGTCATGCTTCCTCTAGCACCGCCTTCGGCCCGGAAGCGGCCTCCAGCCAATCGCGTGGGGGGAGCGGCGCGCGCTCGCGGGCTAGCGCGCCGCCGCCGCCTTCTCTCCCCTGGGCGCCGGCCTCGGACCCCGGCTTCTACTTGGAGGTGCGGGGCCTGAAGGGCTTTGGCAGGAGGAAGCCCGCAGCGCCCGCCAGGCCCGGTTCGGAGGAACCCAAAGGAAGAGCGGCACGCCCGGGGGAGGTGCTAAGCGGTGGCTGGGTGCCTGTCACCCTTTCGAAGTTGAAGCATGCTCTGTCAAACTGTGATGAACTCAAAGCCTCGGACATGTGGGAAGGGGATTCGGATTAGACGGCCAGACCCTGGAAACAGCTCTCTCTCCACTGCACTATTCTCAACGACAGCCAAGTTAATCTCATCCTCGCACGGGAACTGAGGTGTGGCCAAGCGACTTACCCATAAACCTACTAGGTTGAGAGATCAAAGAGCGGGAGGAGTCAGTTTCCAAGAGGCATTAGCCCCTGAACTAAAAATGTTAAAGGAGGTACCCGAGCCAATTCAGCAAAGCAGCGGAGGGTCTTCCTGGCACAAGAAGCAGAACGTGGCGAGGGATGGAGAATTGGGAGGGAAAGAGGGACACCTCCTCCCCCTTGGTCTCTATAATACAACCGTTGGAAACCCATTTAAAAAAAAAAAAGCATATTATATCAGCTGAAGCAAGTTGTGAAATATAAAACAATATTCTGCTTTACAACGTGTAAAATAAGTAAGTCTCCATATGGTCCCACTATTTTTTAAAAATATATTTTATTGATTTTTTACGGAGAGGAAAGGAAAGGGATAGAGAGCCAGAAACATCAATCAGCTGCCTCCTGCACACCCCTACGGGGGGTGTGCCCGCATCCAAAGTACATGCCCTTGCCCTTGACCGGAATCGGTCCTGGGACCCTTGAATCCGCAGGCTGATGCTCTATCCAATGAGCCAAACAGGTTTTGGCCATATGGTCCCACTATTGCTTCCTTCACCCTAGAGTTCCTGCAGAATGTTGGGCAGAATGGGAAATTGTGCCCTACCTCACAGCGATGCTACAACACAGCTGTTTAAATGGGAATCTCTTCCCCTTCACCCCCAAAGGAAAAAAAAAAAATTAAATCACAGTTCATTGGTACTGTCAGAAGTATAACTCTGTACTGTCAAGCAATTTGACAATTCTTTCATTTAAAAACAAAAAGTCTAACATGTATGGGGAAGGGGGGAAAGGGTATAGGGGGACAAATGGTGATGGAAAAAAATAAGGGGACGAAAGTCTGGTATGTACAAAAAATGTTGATGTAAATTACAAAACATAAAGTGTACCACCCAATTTATGAAAAAGAAAATTAACCTGTACTATTGAAGCTTACATGTGGTCTTCCCAGATCATACCTTCTCCCTGCTTCCTTCCAAAAGTATTCACTCTCCTGATTTTTAAAAATAATTTGTCTTTATGTTATTACCATATGTATTCCTAGATAACGCCTTATTTATTTGTGCTTGTCTTTGAACTTGATACTTATTTTCATGCTGTATTATATTGCTGCTTGTTTTCAATCAACTTTGTTTCTAGAATCCATCCTTGTTATATGTAGTTCTATTTTATTTTCTCTGTCATATAACATATGCCATGATTTATATATCCATTTCCTGTCACTAACATTTAGTTTCCTTTCTCCATTCCCCCATTATGTACATTGCTACGAATATTCTTGTATGTTCTAAAACCTGTCTGTGAGAATTTTTTAAGGTAGAATTGTTGGTGTGAAGGGTATATAAGAAACAGTCCAAGAGCTTCCCAAAGATGTGCCAATATACACTCCCAGCAATATCTTCTTAAGCTTGAGCATAGACCCTTCCTTATTTTTCCAAAGCATAGCTAAGACAAGGTTGCCATGTTTAAAAATATTTGCAGTGGAAGCCTGAGCTTGCAAGAAAAATCTTAAAGTGCCGAAACCGGTTTGGCTTAGTGGTAGAGCGTCGGTCTGCGGACTGAAGGGTCCCAGGTTCGATTCCGGTCAAAGGCATGTACCTTGGTTGCGGGCACATCCCCGGTAGGGGGTGTGCAAGAGGCAGCTGGTCGATGTTACTCTCTCATCGACGTTTCTAGCTCTCTATCTCTCTCCCTTCCTCTCTGTAAAAAATCAATAAGATAGATTTTTTAAAAAAATCTTAAAGCTAAATAGCATAATCCACATTTGGAAAGCTTTGGTCATATCCTTTCCCTGGGGATCCTCTCCTCCATTACCTCCATGAGCCAACTCCTCTTGCCAGGAAAAAAAGCCTTCTTTACCAGTCTTGCCTTCTCTAGAGCCCCATCTCTTTTTGTCTCTAAATCAAATCTAAATAAATAAAGGCACGCCCACTTCCCAAAACAATAGAGCAAACAAACATCAGCAAGCTCCTGCAAAGATGAAGCTTTGCCCACAATGTAGTCACCTTGTCACCTCACTGTAAATTACAGTTGTTCGGAATTGTCCTGAGTGTCTTCATTCCAGGATGATTTTTTGCTTTACTTTCATATACCCAGTAGATCCATTAAGCTGGGTTTTTGTTGTTGTTGTTGTTGTTGTTGTTGTTGTTGTTTTCAAAAGAGCAGTCTTCACCTAGAGATGAATTTTACAATTATCCCTAGAGTGAATCTGTTGGTTAAAGCCTCTTGGCTTGAGCCTGGCCAGCATGGCTCAGAGGTTGAGCACTGACCTATGAACCAGGAGGTCAATGTTTGATTCCCTGTCTAGGCACATGTCCAGATTGCAGGCTCAATCCCCAGTAAAGGGTGTGCAGGAAGCAGCTAATCAATGACGCTCTCTCATCACTGATGTTTCTATCCCTCTCCTCCTTTCCTCTATGAATCAATAAAAATAAAATATAAAGCCTCTTGGTTTGAAAGTATCAGAAACTATCTCAAGCTATCCTAAGCATAAAAGGAAAATCTGTTCTAAGCATACAAGGATGCCTAAGGGCATCAGAGAAGAATTTCTCATTGGTCAAGTTTGGGGCAAGTGCCTTTCTCTAACCCAGGATGAAGAAATGAGGTCATATTGTGCCAAATAGCTTCCAATGAATCTTTGCTATGGATGAAGGGTCATTCTAAATGCTCAACAAATGTTTTTCAAATGTTTGAATGTTGGGGAGAGCCATAGCAACAATTTCTAAATAATGAAACAAGCCTAACCAGTTTGGCTCAGTGGATAAAGCATCAGCCTGCAGACTCAAGGGTCTCAGGTTCAATTCCGGTCAAGGACATGTACCTTGGTTGTGGGCTCATCCCCAGTAGGGGGTGTGCAGGAGGCAGCTGATGATGTTTCTCTCTTATTGATGTTTCTAACTCTCTATCCCTCTCCCTCTCTCTGTAAAAAATGAATAAAATATATATTTTAAAATAATGAAGCTAAAAATAGATATCCCATTTGGTTGTTTTCCTTTTTCCAATGTCAGTGATTATATTATGAGTCAATTACCTTCATAAAACTCCATTCATTAATAAAATATATAATTAAAGATATCTATAGCCCTGGCTGGTTTGGCTCTGTGGATGGAGTGTCAGACTGCAGACTGGAGGGTCCTGGGTTTGATTCCGGGCAAGAGCACATGCCTGGGTTGCAGTTTGATCTCCAATAGGGGGTGTGCAGAAGGCAGCCGATCAATGATTCTCTCACATCATTGATGTTTCTATCTCTCCCTCTCACTTCCTCTCTGAAATCAATAAAAAAATATATTTAAAAAAATAAAGATATCTACACACACTAGAGGCCCATTGCATGAAATTTGTGCATGCGGGAGGAGGTTCCTCAGCCCAGCCTCCACACTCTCCAATCTGGGACCCCTTGGGGATGTCCAACTGCTGGTTTAGGCCCGATCCCTAAACCAGCAATTGGACATCCCTCTCACAATCCGGGACCACTGGCTTCTAACTGCTCATTTGCCTGCCTGCCTGATAGCTCCTAACTGACCCCCTGCCGACCCGATCGCCCACAACTGCCTCCCTCCCACCAACCTAGTCACCCCCTGCTACCCATCCTGCCAGCATGGAGACCCCTAACTGTCCCCCTGCTAGCCTGGTTACCCTTATTATCCCCCCCAGCCAGCCTGGTCACCCCCAACTCCCCCCCACCAGCCTGGTCGCCCATGCAGCCTGCTGTTCAGTCATTTAGTCATCCCTCACTAATCCCCCTGCCAGCCTTGTTGACCCACACAGCCTGCTGTTTGGTCATTATTGTTACTGTGACAGCAGCCCAGACAATTTGTATATTCCTCTATTACACACACACACACACACACACACAGTAGGCCTGGTGCATAAAATTCGCGCACTGGAGTTGGGGGTTGTCCCTCAGCCCAGCCTGCACTCTCTCCAATCTGGGACCCCACAAGGGAGTCCGACTGCCGGGATCGGGTTGGCAGTCGGACATCTCTCTCATAATCTGGGACTGCTGGCTCCCAACTGCTCACCTGCCTGCCAGCCTGATTGACACTTAACTGCTCCCCTGCTGGCCCAGTAATCTCTGACTGCCCTTCCCTGCAGGCCGAGTCCCCCACAACTGCCCTGCCAACCTGGTCCCTCCCAACTGCCTTCCCCTGCAGGCCTGTTCACCCCCAACTGCCCTCCCCTGTAGGCCAGCTTGTGGCAGCATCTTTGACCACATGGGGGCAGGCATCTTGTGCAAGGGCATGAGGATCAATTTGCATTTTACCTCATTATTATATAGGATATATATATATATATATATATATATATATATATATAGAGAGAGAGAGAGAGAGAGAGAGAGAGAGAGAGAGAGAGAGAGAGAGAGAGAGAGATATGACTGCTATGATAGAGTGGTTAGAGTGTTGTTCAATGCATCAGGGTATTTTGGGTTTGATTCCTGGTCAGGACTCATAACTGGGTTGCAAGTTCGATCAGTGGGAGCACATGTGTGAGG